TCTGCGAGCCTACTGTCGTGCACGAGGCATCCGCCAGACCTTCACGCTTCCGGACTCTCCACAGCAAAATGGGATTGCTGAGCGCCGCATTGGCATGGTCATGGACGTCGCCCGTACGTCCATGATGCATGCGGCTGCCCCCCATTTTCTGTGGCCGTTTGCGGTCCGGTACACGGCGCATCAGATCAACCTTCAGCCCAGGGTCTCCATGCTGGAGACCTCCCCAGGTTTGCTGTGGACGGGGAAGGTTGGCGATGCGTTTGCGTTCCGTGTCTGGGGATCTCGGGCGTTTGTCCGCGACTTGTCTGCGGACAAGCTATCCCCTCGTGCTGCTCCTTGCGTCTTCCTGGGTATCCCCCCTGACGCGCCAGGGTGGCAGTTCTACCACCCCACCTCTCGCCGTGTTCTGTCCTCCCAGGATGTCACGTTTGACGAGTTGGTCCCCTACTACTGCCTCTTCCCCTACCGCACTCTGTCCCTCCCCCCGCCACCGCTCTTCCTTGTGCCAGGTCCCCCCTCGGTAGACCCCCTTCCCCCTCAAGGCCCGGCCCCTTTAGGTGTGTCCAAGGTAGACGCAGTCGAGCCTGTCGAGGTTGCTGGTGACTCTGGTGCTGCTGAGGGTGCTGAGCCTAGGGGTGCTGACTCTAGGGGTGCGGAGAGTGTGGGTGCTACGCATGGGGGTGCTAAGCCTGAGGGTGCTGAGTCTAGGGGTGCTGAGTCTAGGGGTTCTGAGCCTGGGGGTGCTGGGTTTGGGGGTGCTGAGCCTTGGGGTGCTGAGCCTGGGGGTGCTACGACTGGGGGTGCTGAGCCTGGGGGTGCTACGCCTGGAGGTGATGCGCCTGGGGGTACGGAGCCTGAGGGAGCTGGGCCTGCTCGTGTGGCGTCTTGCGGTACTGTGCCTGGAGGTTCTCCGGGTGCTTCGTCTCGGCGAGAGCCACTCTCTCCACAAGAGCTGCGCGAGTGGTTTGCCTGGCGTTGGAGGCATGCTGCTGGAGCTGGAGGTTCTTCGGCTGCTGAGGGTGCTGGTGCCGCGGGTCCCGGAGGTGCTCGTACTGGGAGTACAGGAGCAGCTGGGTCTGTGGGTACTACTAGAGCTGGAGCCACCGCGACTTCTCGTGGTCCGACTGGAGTTGGAGCTGGTGAGGGTGTTGGCGCTGAGGCAACTGCTGTCGGTCCTGGAGGCGGTCCTGCTGCGGGTGCTACTGGTGCTGCTGGAGGTACTGGAGCTCGAGGTGCTGCTGGCGCTGGTGCTACCACTGGAGGTACTGGTGCTGTCCCTGCTGTGTCTGGAGTCGTTGCGCGGCCTCGAACGTACTTCGTTCCGCTCCTTGAGCAGGTTCTTGGTCTCCCGCCTTCTGTTGGTCCTCCTCCTCACTTAGAGTGTCCACAGCCGGTCCCGTCACAGTTACAGTTACAGCCAACCTCCCCACTGCCTGCTCCTTCTCCCTACACTGGTCCTACTGGAGGTCTTGCTGAGCGTCGTGAGCCTGCGTCTCACCCTGCGTCGCCTGTCCGTGCTGCTCGCGCTAGTGGTCGTGATTCGCGTCAGCGTCCTCCTCCTGTCCCTGGCATGCACAAGATGTGTCTGCGTCCGTCCACTGCTCCCCTGCGTGCCCCTTTGCCTTCTCCTCCTGGTCATCTCTTCCTGCTCTTGCCGACCCGGAGTCGGACTCTCTTCGTGCTGCCAGTCCTACTGTCACGCGTCTCCTTGCTACTGTTGTCACTGACCCTTCGTTTGAGTCCACTGCTGCGTCTGCCCTAGTTGCTGAGCTCGTCGACTTTGCTGCTCGCTGTCGCCTAGACTACGCTGCTAGTCTTGTTGCTGAGTCTGAGTCTCTCTGTCCTCCGTCCATCGCGGGTGAGTGTGCCCTTGGCACGGACGTCCTTGAGGACAGGCAGGAGGAGTTCTTGTGTTTGGCTGCTGCTTCACCTCATCTCGTGTCCGTACTGCTTACCCCTGAGGGAGACCCGGATGCACTTGACATCCCGACTCCGCGCTCTTACGCGGAGGCGATAGAGGGTCCCTACTCCTCCCAGTGGCAGGCAGCTCTGGACGCACAGATGGCTTCCTGGAAGTCCACAGGCACCTACGTTGACGAGGTTCCCCCGCCTGGGGCGAACATCGTCAGTGGCATGTGGATTTTCAGGGTGAAGCGGCCGCCGGGCTCTCCGCCTATCTTCAAGGCGCGGTACGTTGCTCGTGGCTTCAGTCAGCGGCAGGGAGTTGACTACTTTCAGACCTTCTCTCCCACCCCAAAGATGACCACTCTTCGGGTACTGCTGCACATAGCTGCTCACCGTGACTACGAGCTACACTCTCTTGACTTCAGCACTGCTTTCTTGCAGGGCAGCCTGCACGAGGAGATCTGGCTGCGCCGCCCACTTGGCTTCACTGGGACTTTTCCTCCTGGCACCCAGTGGAGCCTCTGGCGGCCACTCTACGGTCTCTGCCAGGCACCGCGTGAGTGGCACGACACACTGAGGACTACACTTGCGGCTCTTGGGTTTGCTCCCTCTATTGTCGACCCGTCGTTGTTTCTGCGCATCGACACTTCTTTGCCGCTGTTCTACATCCTCATGTACGTCGACGACTTGGTCTTTGCCACAGCTGACACTGCTAGACTCGCCCATGTGAAGTCCGAGCTGCAGAAGAGACACACGTGCACAGACCTGGGTGAACTGCGCAGCTACCTTGGCTTGCAGATCACCCGGGACAGAGCACGCCGCACCATTACCCTCACTCAGTCACACATGGTGCAGCAGGTCCTTCAGCGCTTCGGCTTAGCGTACTCCTCGCCTCAGGCCACTCCTCTGCCTACTCGCCACTCGCTCTCAGCTCTGCCTTCGGATGAGTCCGTAGAGTCGAGTGGCCCGTACTCAGAGCTAGTTGGCTGCCGCATGTACCTGATGACCTGCACACGACATGACCTTGCATACCCTCTTAGCATTCTCGCACGCTATGTTGCTCCTGGGAGACACAGACCAGAGCACATGGCTGCAGCGAAGAGGGTGTTGCGCTACTTGTGCAGTACGTCGGGCATGGGGCTTGTGCTTGGAGGGCAGAGTCCAGTGGTCCTCACTGGGCACGCACACGCTTCTTGGGCTGACGACCAGGCTACGTAGCGGTCGTCACAGGGTTACACCTTCAGCCTTGGTTCCGGCTCTGTTTCGTGGTGGGCTACCCGCTCGTCCTCTGTTCTCGGCTCCAGTTGTGAGGCTGAGATCTACGCAGGAGCCATGGCTGCACAGGAGCTTCGCTGGCTCACCTACCTGCTGACTGACTTCGAAGAGCCGCCTCGTTCTCCTCCAGTCCTGTACGTAGACAACAAGGCCATGCTGGCCTTGTGTCGGGAGCAGAGACTGGAGTACAGAACGAAGCACATTGCTCTTCGCTACTTCCTTGCTCGTGAGCTACAGCAGCGTGGTCAACTGCGTCTTGCGTTCGTGGCCTCTGAGGCCAACACTTCTAATATCTTCACCAAGGCACTTGCGCCTTGTGATCATCAGCGCTTCTGTACTCAGCTAGGTCTTGTGCCTGCCTTTTCTCACTTGCTCACCCCTTGACCTTGTTTGTACTGTTACATATGTATATACACCTGCTCTTGCTTGTCTAGCCTTATATATATGTGTAATCCTGCATGTGAACTGGCCTTGTGGCCTTGAACTTGTGCTCGGAATGTGTGGTGACTTTGTGATCCACCCTGAGCTTGCTTTGCTTTGCTTGACTGGTCTTGTGACCCCTTGTTCTCCCCCACTTTGCCTATGGGGGTGTGTCAGATTTATATGACATAGCTACTATAGGCTATAGTGTGGTAGCACATATGGGGTTCACCTTTCTAGGGTTTGTTTGCGAACCTTCATGAGGAGATTCTAGGGAAGATATTTTTTCAGATCGCAACAGGTGCCACTCTAACAAAGGGGAAATTCAGGCTCTAGGTCTGTTTGTCATTGTCAAACAGATCAGATTTATAAATATCCGTACCGTATTCTCCCGGACAAAACACCCCCCAATGATTGAGCACCTTCGGGTAGCTTGGGCGGAGTGGGTGCTATGGGTGACCTCGTTTCTACTATACCCCCCCTTTTGGCTGATTTTTTTTAACACCCCCCTTTTATTACAGATTCTATATTATATTTGTTAACGAGTAGGTGCAATTATGGGAGGATATTGCGAAAGTCCCTCCCTCGATGAAATTTCGAGGTTCTTTCGCTTCGAATCTGCTGAGATTCCCCCCTGCCCACCATTTCGCTATCGCCACGTGCTGGCGATTCTTAGTGCTGCAAGTGGCCAGACATGTGCCACATGGCATTTTCGAGGGCGTTCGCGTTGAAACTCACATTCGCGCATCAATATGTGATGTTAAAACGCCCATGGAAACACTCAAATTGTCTAAAAAAAAGACATACACTAAAATATACCATATATATGCACCCGGGTATTATGTAGCTTTTTCCCTGTATTTTTATATCTACCCTAGGGTGTTATGTCCGGGATAATACGGTATGTGCTTTTACATCTTAGAACCACCGAAGGAATATAATTCGTTAGTCTATACTTACTTTAGGGGGTGTGTTCCGAAGTTCTCGCTTGCCCTGGTTCGGCCTACATATTTTCCCCGAACCACTTCCCGAGTCGCCACCGCAGGTTTTTCACCCCATGGTCCCGTGGCCCTCGCCTAGCTCGACCCAACCTATTTTAGCCTCGTTTTAGAGATTCGCAGGACATTCTCTGGTTTCGAACTTGATTGCATCTGAGCCACCCTGATGCCATAACTGCATTCCGCCATTGCGTCTGCAGCAGCGCGCCGCGTGTAATAAGAGACGCTGCGAGGTGAATGCGAACGACTCATCCTTACGAGCTCACGCAAGTGAACGATAGCAAAAGCTGAATACTTCTTCTCAGGAGGTCAGTAGTTCTCGAGTCTTGCACGGTTTCCGCCCCTACAAGTGGTTCCCCAAATTTTGTACCAATCCTGCGCGAGGCCCATTTGCGCGAGTAGATGTCGCCGTCAAACTCAAGTAGCAGCAGCTGGCCGTGGTCGCCGCACAGCCGTCCGATGGCCGTCGACTCTCGTCACCGAGTAACCACCCGCTGCGCGTCGCTCTGGCGCAAAGCGAAGAGCGCCGCGTTGGGAAAAGCGAAGACGGTTGCTAGCAGCGAACGGGACGCCGGTGAACCTGCCGACCATGCACACAGCGGGTCGGCTGATCGTTCGTCTGACGCTGCGCATCCTGTCGCGAATCCACCGTGCGAAACGTCGCCCGTCGCCTGCGATTTCGCCGAAGACCCGTTGGCGACGCCGCCAGGCCAGGGCGTGTTCGGAAACCTGTCGAGCGACTGCCTAGAAGTCGTTTTTCGTCGCCTGGGCGACGCGCGCGACGCCGTGCGAGCGAGCTGCGTGTGCAAGGCGTGGCACAGCGCGTTTCACGGCTCCACCCGCCACGTGTCGCTCCAGCTGGACCCCGTCTTGCTACAGTGGCAGCCGTCGTTCCGCCCCGTCTATGCGGCGCACCTCGATACAGTCACAAGCGCACTCACGCCGGGCATCCGCAGCGGAAGCGGACGTGGCGGAGAGAGCGGAGTGGCAGCAGATGGTCAATTTCTAGCGTCCAGCGGGGAAACTAGCAGCCGTGGAGGCGGGTGGACTGGCGGCCGAAGCATCATGAGCATGGGTGAGGTAACCAGTGGGGGGGAAGGGTCAGGTGGAGTGGCGGGGTGGTGGTGGGATCCCATGGCGTCAGGCGGGTGGCATGTGAACCACACCGACCGCTTCGACTGCAACAGCCTCGCCCGCCCTGGCTGGATGGCCCACGAACCCTACCACCGCTCCTTCTCGCCAGACCTCATCCGAGCCTTGCTCCAGCAGTTCCCGAACCTCACCTCCGCCTGCCTGCCAGTAACGGTGCGCGGCAGCGAAGCAACAACCGAGATCCAGCCAGTCCTCATTGCGTTGGCCTCCTGCAGTGCTCTGTGCTCGCTGCACGTGCAGGTGAACGCGGGGCGGAGGGTCAACAACCCTCCTCTGCTGCTCGACCTGACCGCCCAAGTAGCAACGCTCCTACCCGCCCTGCCCTCCCTGCGCGCCCTCTCCCTGCAGTCCGCGCACTGCTTCCTCCGCTCCTCGCCCCCACTGCTCGCCTCCTTCTCCCACCTGCACCACCTCGCTCTCCCCGTGCTCCACCTGCCCGCACCCCTGCTCGCCCTCACACGCCTCTCCTCCGTCGCCCTCGCCGTGCTCTGCCCACTCTGTCCCGCGCTGCTCGCCTCGCCCGCGCCCTTCCACCGCCTCACGCGCCTCTCATCCCTCGCGCTGCATCTCGGCGCCAGTGATGACTGCCATCCCTGCCCCATGTGCACCGTCACCGATACTGCCCATGGCAGCACCAGCGGCAGCAGCAGCAGTCATGGTAGTGGAGGTGGTGCTGGTGGCGGTAGCAGTGCCAGCACCGCCAAACCCTCAACCTCTCTCACCGCTCTCTCTCCCCTGACTGACCTCTTCTCCGGCCTCTCTCCCTCCCTCACATCCCTCACCTACTCCCCCCCTGCGTTTCCTCCCCCCGCGCCCACCTCTCTCCCCGCCTCGCTCATCACCCTCACCGCCCTCCGCACCCTCCGACTGCTCGCCCCAACCGCTGCCACCACAGCACACTTCTGGGGGGACCTGGACGGCCTTTCGCGTCTCACCCAGCTCACCTTCCTGGAGCTTTCCTGTGTGGCGGGGAATGCAGTGCCGGCGTCACTGCAGGGGATGCCGCTGCTGGCACATCTGGTGCTGCCGTGGGCTCAGAGCGACCCTGCACGGGTGGTGCCCTCGCTGAGTGCTTTGAGGGAGCTGGAGATCGGCACAGGGGCTCTTAGGATCGAACCACAGGTGGAAGCAGCGACAGCAGGACGGGCAGGGCAGGCAGGGCAGGGAGCACCAGGAGCAGCAACAGCAGAAAGCACCCCAAATCCGCCGACCAGCAACACCCTCTATGCCTATGCCCTGTCTGAGCCATGTCAACCCACGGCCACTTTCGCCGCACCTCCCGTGCTGCTGCCCCCCAGCCTCACATCCCTCAGACTACTCCACACGGACCACCGCCCCCTCCACTTGCCCGCCCTCGCCTGCTCCTCGCTGCGCCGCCTCTCCTTCTCCTTCAACGTCGAGCTCGCCGCCCGTGTGCCGCCCCACGCCTGCTTCTTCCCAAACCTGCAGTTCCTCGAGCTCTTTCGCGTGGAGGGGTCGTTCGGGTGGGGCAACGGGCAGTGGCTCGGGGCCATGCCGAGCCTCACGCACTTCATCAGCCGCTGCCCTAAGCGCAACCACTCCTACCTGCTCCACAGACTCGCGCCTTCCTTGAAGTTTCTCCACTTGGAGGACCCCTCTCCCAAGGTCCCACTGGTAGTCCTCCCCTCCCTCACGTCCCTCACCATCGACAAGTACTGCGACGTGAGTGCGCTGCTCTCCTCCCTCGCCGCCTTCTCCGCCCTCCACACGCTCCGCTTCAACTGCTTCTCACAGGTCGCGGCCGACAGAAAGCTCTCTCCGGGGCGAGTGGGACGCCCGCCGGCTCTCAGGGTGCTGCAGTTCAGATTCGCTCAGATCCACGCGCTGCCGGAGTTTGTGAGAGGCTTCACGAGCGTTGTTAGAGTTGATCTGATCAACTGTGGGCCTCTGGAGGTGTGGCCGGAGTTTTTGGCTAAGTTCCCGGCGTTCCACTGCTTGCGAGTGAGTGGGTGCTCAAAACTCCCCCCTCCTCCCCCTTCACTGGTTCCCCTGCTGGTGCCGGCCAGATAGGGGGTTGGGCTGTGACAAAGCTCGTGGCAACTGAATGGAGCAAATGAGGTGAACGTGCCATGGTGGTAGGGTTGAGGAGCAGGCCTCAGATTCACTTCTACATTGTGTTCCTACGCTTTGTATCAAGCAACCTCGTATCAGACTTGATAGTCTAGGGAATGATGGATTAGGTCAAGTGAGGGGTACAAGGAACCGCCGATGAGATTTATGTACCCCCTAAGGCTAATGTAAGGAATTGTAATTCCTTGCTGTATTCGCGCTTTAGCGAGTACAATTCCAGGGCTACGTGTCAGATGGTTCGGCCTACATTTCTGCAACCAAACCACTCCCGAGTCGCCCCCACTCCAATCGCAACACTTTCCCGAGCCATTCTCGCCAGACCTTTTCGCTTGTCTACCGTATCACCCCGGATAGTAGCGCATATGCGCTTATAATAAAATCATTTTTTAAGGGGGGCGCTTGTAATTGAATATCGGCCATAAGCGCCGGCGCTTGTATAATGACATATACGTAAATACAGCTTAGACGCACCAAATTTTACATTTAAGTCTCGTAAGTTGAATTGAATCGAAATTTTACAGCGTCCAGAAACAGAATCGCGCGAGGGCGATTCTCTGACGGTGCACTGCACAGAGCTTTGGCCATGGCCTATTTTTGGATTTTAGGTACTCTAATTTCCAGATTAGTTTTTTTCCCAACTCTGAAATCTAGGGTTGTTCCTTCGCCTTACTATGATTTGTCAGAGCAACCCTATACTTAAAAAAAAAACCCAGGCACGTCAGAGTTGTTGGGCTGATGCCCCTTAGGATCTTTGGTAGGGTTAAACTCTGGGTAGAGTGATGTAGTAGCGGAAGCGTTTTAAATGAAGTCCTTGAACCACCTTGCGCTGATATGTGAGGGCAAAGTAAGTTAATTAAAAACAAGCAAGTACAAAGGTTTGTATAATAGTACAAAGAATACGAAGAGATATAATGAAACTGTTTTACTGTTGCGGTTCGATACAGTGCGACTCGGGCAACTGCTCAATGTCGAGTCAGTTGTGTGTCATTGCTGTCGCGCTGCATTTGTCAAGTCAAAGGTCGCTGACCTTTGACCTTCGCATAACCTCCAGCGGTTACTTCAACCTCCTGGGGTTGACTCGCTGGTGCCTCGATATGCTCTGCTTCGCTTGTGCCTTGGTGTTTCGACACGACAGAGGCGCTTAAGATTGTTTGTTCCCAACACTCCCCTTCGCTTCTGGAGTGTCGCTGCTGGTGACGTGGCTTTGTCCAGTCAGCAGCATGTAGTACTCGAACTTCTGTTTTCCGAGCTTCTTGGTCAAGTAGTCAGCTGCCATCTCGGACGTGGGACAGTAGGATAGTTCAAGTCTCCCCTTCTCAATCTCGTCTTTCACGAAGAAGTATCGCAGAGCGATATGCTTCGTTCTGTTCGCGAATCCATTTCTGTTGGCGATGCGAATTGCAGATTGGTTGTCGCAGAACAGAGTGAAGTTGGGTAACTCGGCTAACTTCGCTTCTTCCAGCAGCTCGCGAAGATAGAGTCCTTCCTTGGTGGCTGAGCAGAGTGCAATATATTCTGCTTCAGCTGACGAGAGAGCAATTAGTTCCTCCTTGCTCGATTGCCAGGAGATCGGTCCGATAGGTTCGAGGCGGTAGATGTAGCCGGTGCGGGAGCGCATGTTATCGGAGTCGCCAGCGTGATCAGCGTCGACGTAGCCGATTAATTTAGTCGGTGTAGTTGTGTTCTTGTAGTAAGTTAGGCCGATCGTTGAGGTACTGACGAAGTAGTGGAGAGCGCGGTCGAGCTCCGCCAGGTGTTCTGCTTCTGGCTTCTTGAGGTAGGTGGCGAGCTGGCTTGCGGAGTATGAGAGGTCGGGGCGGCAGGTGACAGTTGCGAAGAGGAGGCATCCTAGCTTTCTCTGGTAGTCGCGTATCCCGGCGGATTTGAGTAGAGAGGATCCTTCCTTGTGGTTTTCTGTCGCGTAGCGGTAGGGCGTAGAGATGGTGGTAGGTGTGAGCGCAAAGCGTTTGTCGATGGTGTCGGCATACTTAGCGGCGTTGAGGTAGATCGCGCATTCTTCTTCCCAAATGTTCAAGCCGAGGTACTGTGTAACAGTAGAGGAGACCGTGAGTGTGAGGTCCCTCTGTAACTCCCCTTCGAACCAGGTGGTGATGTCGTCAGTGGAGCCGATGTAGAGTAGGTCATCTACGTAGACGATCAGCAGAATGTAGTCGGTGTCTTTAGTGAGTCGGTACATTCCTTGGTCGTGAGGTAGTTGGCGGAATCCGATGCGGATGAGGCGAGCGTGTAGGTGTTGTTGCCATAGCCGCGGAGCTTGCTTGATCCCGTAAAGTGATTTCAGCAGTTGACAGACTTGATTAGGTTCCCCGTTGGTACCGAGTGGGAGCTCGACGAAGATTTCCGCATCGACAGGTGCGTAGAGGAATGCGTTGGCGACATCGATTTGCCGTAGCTTCCTTTTCTTCATGGCGGCGATCGCGAGGAGGATTCGAAGTGAGGTATGTCGGCTAACCGGGGCGAATGTCTCCGTGAAGTCCCGTCCGTGCTTCTGATCGAATCCACGCACAACCCAGCGTGCTTTGAACTTCGCAATTGTGCTGTCTGCTTTTGTTTTAACGTGGAAGACCCATTTCCCGGTGAGAATGGTCTTGTTCCTTGCCGCGGTGATGGGGACAACTTTCCAGGTGTTCCGTTCCTCCAGCGCCTTTAACTCTCTGTCCATGGTTTCACGCCATTTTTCCCTGTGTTCCCCCCCCAGAGCCTGCTGAACCGTCGCAGGCTCCTTAGCAAGAGTGTTGCCGTGGACTGCGGTGACGAGTCTGAGAATCTGCAGTCCAGTCTGTGAGTAGCGGGGAAGAGTTGCATCCTCGGGATAAGCTGCTTCATCTCCCGCTTCTGGATCAGGTATGAAATTCGGTCCTACTCGTTCTGCTTCGTTGGTGTTGACTGTCGCAGTTGTTACGTAACCGTTGTCGGCGAAGTAGTAGAAGGTTTCGGCGTTGACACTTTCGCGAGGGTTGTCTTCGACGGAGCAGAACGGAAGGGGTCCAGCTTCTTCTGATGCGTTGGCCACATTCTGCTCGTCCCAGTTAGCTTCGTCCGCTGTTGAGGCGAAGGCTCGGTCACCACGAGAACCACCTGTGGGATCTTGGTCCTCTTGCAGTTTGGTAAGGTATGTCTGGAGCGTGAGTCGTTCGTAGAAAATGACGTCGCGTGCTGCTACTGTTTCCTTGGAGTGGACGTCAAAGAGTTTCCACGCGTTGTAGTTCTTTTCGATGCCGAGGTGTAGTCCCCACTGTGCGCGTTGTGAAAATCGGCCCGCTCGTGCTGCTGGGGGTCGGTACTGTACCATGCATCCGAACAACCGTAACATTTTTGTGCTGCCCTGTTTCCCTGTCCATAGCAGATGCGGTGATGCGTTGTTCGGAAGCGATGATGACGACAGCAAGTTGTGCAGCATGACGGCGTGGTCCATTGCTGCAGGCCACTGGTGGTTGGGTAGCCGCAGGCCACGTAACAGTTTGCGCATGCTGTTCTGCAGAGTCCTGTTCATTCTTTCTGCTACACCTTGCTGCTGATGGGCGTAGGGAAGAGAGAGGAGCTGCTTGATCCCCCTTTCCGCCAGGTACTGCTTGAATCGCTGAGAGGTGTATTCTCCTCCTCCGTCAGACTGGAAGCTTTTCAGCTTTACGCGCGACTCTCTTTCTGCTACTGGTAGCCAAGCAGCGAATGCTTCGAGGACCATGTCGCGGTTGGGTAGGTTTAGATGCCAGATGTAACGGGTGGCGGCGTCGATGAAGGTGATTGTGTAGTTGTATATTACTTGTCCTGGTTCCCGATTGTACAGGATGTCGCTATACACCTTTTCGAGTGGTGCGTACGTGGGTGCGCTCGGGTTGTGATGAGGAGTGAACGGCCGATGTGGTAAGTCGGCTTCGGGGCAGGTAAGACATGTTCCTCGTGCCCGTTGAAGTTCTCTGCCGTCGAGTAGTAGTAACGAGTCCTTGTCAAGGTCTCCTGCTCTTATTGTGTTGTTTAACACAGTGTTGCTTGGGTGTCCCATGCGTGCGTGCCAGATGTCTTCGGAGGCGCGGTGTCCGGGTGAGCGTCGATACGCGTCGGAGTTGGAGTAGAAGCTGGCGGTGAAGTTTACGCTTCTATGGAATTCCCGTTGAGCCGGATTCAGCTGCTGTGTGGGTGTTGGTGGTGCTTCGTCAATGAGGACTAGTTTCATTGTTGCTGCTGCTGTTGTTGTTCCTGCTACTGCCGATGATGTCTCTGCTGCTGCCGATGTTGTCTCTGCTGCTGCCGATGTTGTCTCTGCTGCTGCCGATGTTGTCTCTGCTGCTGCCGATGTTGTCTCTGCTGCTGCCGATGTTGTCTCTGCTGCTGCCGAATGTTGTAATGTTACTAACGCACGTGTTCGTTCTGCTTCAGGAATGGTATGTGAATACCAAAAGCCTTCCGGACTGAAGTCGGGGTCGAGATCCGGCGGGTGCGTCCAAGATGTGAAGGTGACGATCCCGTCACTGTCTGCGGTGCCCAGGTCTGGGACGAAATCGAGAACGAAGACATTGTTCTTCAGGACCGCCTTTCCAATGTAGAGGCCGCCCTTCCCGTGGTACAGCTTGAACTCCTGGGTGGTACTGTCGGCTTCCAGATGTATGCCTTTCGCCATCAACTGACTGGCACTCAGTAAGTTGTAGCCAAGTCCTTCTGCTATCAAGACTTTGGACATTTGCAGTATGACATTCGTCTCTCGTGACTGAATTTGCACTATTCCTTGTCCTCGTGTGCGCAGGTTCTGATTATTGGCGACAGTGATGACGACTTCTTGTTGAAGTTGGTGCTCGCGTTGAACGAAACGTCCTGAAGAGCACATATGTTGTCCGCAGCAACTGTCCAAGAACCATGTATCCTTCCCGGACGGCTCGCTTTGAGCGATGGCGGCGTACGTCGGGTTCGGTTGAAGTGACTCG